CTCTTGCTTTTGTACAACGCCCTTGTGCGACCTCGTCTTGATTATGACGCCGTCGTGTACGATCAGCTCGCTTGTCCGCTCTCAAGATGTTGGATATTGTTCATCCTCTTGGCTTGTGTTTGGCAACAGGTGCTTTTCGGACGTCACCTGTACTAGTTTGCATGCAGAAGCAAATGAGATGTCTCTGTGTAAAAGACGCCAGTATCTCAGTCTAACATATGTATTTTTATGCAGAATCAAATTAAATGTCTCTGTGTAAAAGATGCCAGTACCCCGTCTAACATATGCGTCTAGGATCCTAGCCAACTCTGATCATCCAACATATAATTCAGTACAAAGCTGTCAATTCTACCGTCTCTTTGAAAATAAGCCAAGCATTGTTAGACCCTAAAGTGTTTGTATAAAGCAATTTTGTTCCTCGCTTCAACTTCGTCTGGGCGAACTTAATCTATTTTAGAACAGAGTCTGCGTTGCCCCCTGGAATGTGGCGCGTGTTTTTTGCGGCTTGACTTTCACTGAGTTTAATTAGAATAGCATATCGGCTCTTGCAATTCAGCGGGTATTCCTTAACCTGGAAGAGAAATATAAAGATTATGCTCACTTTTACACTGATGGTGCCAAGACTTCATCTTTTGTCGGTTATCCAGTGCACTCTGGTCATTCTGTGAGAGTAAAACGTCTTGATGATTTTGCGAGTATATTTACTGCTGAAATCTATGCTGTGTCTTTTGCACTGGATTATATTCTGCGGACTAAAACTAGACAGGCCATATTATTTGTGGACTCCCAGAGTGCCATTACTGTAAATGCTCTCTAAAAGCCACTGAGGATATGCTTGCGGGGCAGGTGCGAAGTAAACTTAACGGAGCTTTACGTAAAGGTGACAATATAAAATTCTGCTGGGTTCCAAGTCATGTGGGAATAAATGGTAATGAGGAGGCAGATAGGCTCTCTGCATACTCAGGTAACTGCTCTCAATATCAAGCTAGCTTACCCTATCAGGATATCAAACCATTAAGTCGTCACTCTTTCGTTTATGGCAGTCAGAGTGGGCCAAGGAGTTTACTAACAAGCAGGGACGCCGGAAGTATATCGTGAGTGGGGGGGCTGAAGCCATGTTCCTTTTTGTCGTTTTTTGTATGATGTACTATTTTTTTTTTTACTAAAAAGAATTTAAATATTACGATCTGAGTTTCGTTTGAGAGAAAACACTATCCTAGCGGGTTCGTTTTTGTTCCTTTCACTAGGTCCTGTGCGGTTTCTATTTTCTGCATGAGAACTTCACGATGACACTGCTCGAGAGGCCTTTCAGAACAGGCATCTGGTAGCGATAGGAAAGCGAGGAAACAAGCAGTGTGATTGAATTGACGCATTTACACAAACGGAACTCATGATGAGCTAAGAAGAACTGCGGAATATCTTACCTTGAGAATCTCCGCTTCCTAGGCATGTACGCTTTGGGGCTGGTAGGAAGAAGCTGGTGATCTTCTTTGGATGGCCAGACATTGCATGTAATGGTGGAGTCTAAGAGACACTGACTGACGCTGACTGCATACGCCTCTGACGGGTTGGACCCTCCCGATGTCGTTGGGAGGGTAGGATCAGCCCCGATGATCTTGGAGCTTGGTGGCGGGCACGTTGTTGAATGATGCTCTGACTCGCTGCTTCTCATAAACTTCAACGTTTATCTAAACGCATTCTACTTGGACGACCACCTCGCTGGTTCCGAGTCTAAGACGAACTCCGCTAATTTCATTTCTCGCTTTTCGCATCACAACTCTTAACTTTCCCTCGCTCTCGAAGAAAGAGCCAATAATTTCAAACCTGAAGATCATCACGTGCTCTCGACCGGACCAGTCGCCGGCAAGGACATCTTGAGACCTTCCTAAACGAAAACAACCGTCAAAGCTCGTCAAATATGACAGAAAGCGTCCGGTCCGAGGCGACAATCTGGCGCCACACATGTCTCGTCGCAGTATCCCCCACGCTACGATAACAGCAACACCAACAAAACTATAATCCCCGGGCTCTAGAGGCCCCCATACTAAGCCCCAGTTGGCCCCCGCACGCCACTCCTCGGCCTTGCCACGGGCAGATCGGGTCCAGCTTGCTCTAAACCCTCGTAGCCGCCGTGCTGATGGACGACAGACATTGGATTAAAAAAAAAAAAAAAAAAAAAGTGCGCTCCCGAAACTAACTGTTCTTGTCTAAAATCTCTACGTGCGACAGGACTGTGCCTTGCTGCTCTGTGGCTTGCACCTAACATGGACGCACGTGATGCCTTCGTGACGAGCGCCTGGCTGGCGTTATATCCCCAAACTATTCTTATGAGGGCAAGGGGGCTGAGCCCCCCCATAAGAATACTTGGGGGGGGCTCTGGCCCCCCCTGCCCCCCCCTGCTAACAAGCTCAATGTAACTGGCCAGTCCTTGGGTCATGGAAGAGCTCCTCACTTAAAGGGGCCCTCCGGAGCGTTCTGCGATGGTCTATTTATGGCGGTAACAAAATCTACAGGCCCTAAGGATCCTAAAAATTATAAAATTACCGTCATGCGCCGCGGATTTTCCTTCTAAAATTGCTATCAAAGTCCCCGGCACTCCCCCCTTTCTGAGATGACCCTGGAAAACGGGAGGGGCGTCTCTTTACGCGTCAGCCAATAGCAAGCGAAGGATTCCGGCGTCACTGCGCGTCACCAACGCGGCCGACCGCCGACCCGCGGAGGAACCTCTCGAACACGCGCGGACCGTCGTCAAGGAGCCCGGACTTTGTGCTCGGCAGTCATCGTTCGTTGCACCGCACCGTCGCGCTGCTACTGCAATATGCAGTCGCATTCCACAGATGACAAGGAAAAGTTTAACTCGTTGACGTGCAAGGATCGCAAAGCTGGCTTCGGAGTCGGGATCCACGGGTAGAAGGAACACGTGTCCCGCAAACGCACGCCTGCAGACGCCCCAGGAAGCAGACCTGCAGACGCCCCAGGAAGCAGACGGGCCGACGCGCCGACGCATCACCCCCTAGCAACAAGCTTGCGGGGAGAAAACATAGTTCGCTGGTTTTGGAGCGATAATTGCGGACTATGTTTCCCGCACCACAGTCAGTTTACGTTTTTCTCAAACTCTAATTTACAACAAGCTTAAAAAGTGTTGCAATAACGTTCGCATTCACCGCGAGATGCAGAATTTCCATTGGTCAAGTTTTAGCGATGGGCAGGGAATGGGGGATTGTCTTCCAAGAGAAAATAGTCCCGATATATTTCTACTGCCATCTGCTTAATAAACGGTTTTGTAATCTAAAACTTTGTATACATATTAACTTGCACCTACTACACAATATAACAACATAAACAGACGATCGCAGAAAGCTCCGGAGGGCCCCTTTAAGGGGCAACACTGCTTCTAGAGCTTTTTTATATAACTTGTGATTCAATTCAAATGAAATTTACATGACTTATTTCCCATCACAAACTGACTACAAATATGTACTTGGTTTTGATGTAACCTAATTAGTTTTGTTAATATTGAAACTTTCATTTGCTAAGATTATGGGAAGGATTAAGACGAACTGAAATACTGAAATATAAAAATAAACATATATCAGTGACCTAAAAGGTATGTGGAATCCAACAAGGCATAAATGAAAGCTCTAGGATGCTTTATAAACTTTTTTGGACACTTTTGAACTTTCCAGTTTCAAAATGATTTATTGCAGGATGCCTAAAAGGCACCTAAAAAAGCCTGATACCCTATTTAATAAATTTGTACCCCTTATTGCACATGTCACACATACACCTAATAGAGAAAGAAAAAAATATGAAGAGTAGACATGTGCAAGTGGAGATATGGCTTCCATAAAATAGTAAAGGGTGTAAATAGTTCAATCGGAAATAATATAAAAAAAACATCCACAGTCTCATTTTAATTTGTTTCCAAGACAATATTTCAAGATAAGAGATTTGTTAAAAAAAAATCCTTCAGGACAAGATAAGTACCTGCCAATCTTCAAAAACACAATTTCAAAAATATGTTTTCTTGGAATATTTTTGCCTCAAAGAGGCAGTGTCTTCCCTTAAGAATTGCTTTCACGGAGTTGTATTGTGCTGGCTTCAAATTGTTCACTCTTTCCTTACACACAAATATCTCCTTTGTGGGGAAGATTCACGAGTTTGTGAGCACTGTGGAGACCATCTTACTATTCTCCATATTTTGTGGCTCTGCCCTGGATTGGACACTGAACGATATGCTCATTTTCCAGAGTTTTTTTAGATACAGTATTCCATTTCATCCCGCTCTCTTGCTGGAAAAGCACCCTCTCGTCCCTCTTGATTGAGTTTTAGCATTTATTACTAATACTGGCCTTATACACAAGATCTAGTCTTAGATATTTTCAGGATCGTCATTTTGTAATGACATGACCATAGGAGTTTCATCAGTTAATTTAGTCTGGTGCAGTATGGCCTCCGTTGCTGTTGCGCCATAAAACCTGCAAACACCATTTATTAGAGGTTAGAATACCCCATTGCAGAACATCTACTTTTAATGCCTCCCTAAATCTTGATTGATTGGAATTGCCTTCCCACAGTGATACTTTCATTACTAACACTGCTGATTTTAGAATTGCAATTACTAACTTCTTAAAGAATGATTTATACTAATTTTTTATGTGTGCCTTTTATTTATTTTTTTAACTTTTATGTTTATATTATAGTGCCTACTCCTCTCTCTAATGCCTTTGGTCCTGAGAGTAATGAAATGAATTTTGAAACTGTCTATTACGAAGAGAAATAGGAGCGACAAGCTTGCTATATCAAAGGAGGCACGTGGATGGTTGGAAGTTGCTAGGGCATGATAAGAGAGACTTGGTGTAATAGTGATTACTTGGCCATATTTCTTTGAAGATGGGAAGCCAAATATATCTGTACAGTGGGACTACCTTCGTCTCTCTTACACGGCGGGGGAGCTTTGAGTGTTTTAAGGATGCTCATGGATTGCTCGTGGCTTCCAGGTTTTCGACAACTATGCGGTGACTGTGATGATTGGTGGAGAGCCATACACTCTAGGACTGTTTGACACGGCTGGCCAAGAAGACTACGACCGATTGCGGCCTCTGAGCTATCCGCAGACAGACGTGTTCCTTGTCTGTTTCTCGGTGGTCTCACCCTCTTCATTTGAAAACGTCCGGGAAAAGGTAATTCTTTCTTTTCGGCGTGCCCACGTCATGGACACCCCAGCAACCTTAGCCCCACCCCTTCCCTCAGGAAATTTTGCCGGTGGAGCCCTCTTCATCAGTATGGCTCATTTTATCTTCAGGCAATCATTGAAACATGGTAAAAGTCAGTAAAAGTGAGTAGAAGCCACATAAAAACGAGGTTTGCATACTGGCACGGGCATATCTGAAGTTTTGAGCGCCTCACTCACATGCAGAGACGCGTCCTGGCAATTTGAACTTTGCGCGTACACAAGAAATGAAAGCAGACGATAGAAACGTGGGAGGCGTTCCAAAATATCCGAAAGCTACTTCGGCAGCTGTTGGCCTTGTTCGGCTCTCGGTTGCTATAGGAACTGAGCCAGCTCAGCCGGTTGCTATGACATTGTGCTAGGCCAATCGCTGCTAGAGGCTGCGCGGGGAAAAGCGTAGCGTTACTCGGGCAGCTAAAGCTGCCGTATACACAGACCCAACTCTGTTACGTCACATTGCAGTGGTGGTGCGTCGGGCGCACTTTCAGTCTGGGGCTGTGGGCGGAAGTCACCATATGGGACAGGCATTCCTGTGTTGTTTTAGAAGAAAACCAGACTGAAACCTGCCTTCTCGTCAAAAAAAATTGCGACTGGGGCTGTATACAGTTGGGAAAGGTTTGAAGATCACTTTTTATCTGTTTCCTGCCTGCTCGGTTTGTCTGAGAACGTTGGTAGGTGTTGTGAAAAATAAAATCCAGATGCTGTAGGACCACGATCGCTTGTGCAGGAAGCACTTTGGGTTGAATTCACAAATACTTATGGTTGCCAGATTTTTTTCTTTTTTGTTTCAACATGAACGCGGGAAATCATAAAGTTGGTCGGACCACCTACGGACCATGTTCAGTGCCTTTTCATGTTCAGATGGCCATATGCTCGTTCAAACTTGAGACGTTCTTTGTGTCTGTTCCTTCTACTGAAAGTTCTTCCGATTTCTTCCACCGCAGTCTCAGGTGTAATACGACATGATTCGTTCAAACTGTTGTCTGCACTTTCAAATGTTTCTGCTTGTTGTCTGCTCGTTCAAACGACGGCGGCCAGTAGACCAAACGTTGCGATAAGAGGGAAGTGCAGGCCTCGGAAGACTTTTAGGTTTGAAGGTTGTCTGGGTTAAGTATGCTCAATGTAAGGAGTAGATACAAGGCGATGTTCATCATTGTTACCAGTGGCCATCACCGACTTGTTATGCCCGATTCACTTGGTCCGATTCTGCTTGCAATTTTCAGTATCAGTGTTGAGCATCGCAGCTACCGTCCACGCTTTTGCAGCCCAAGCAACATCTCAACCGAAAATAGCGAGCAGAATCTCATCATGTTAATCGGGCTTCAGTGTTCATTCTGCTACACTCACGCGTAATGAATCGCCGCACGTCACATTATTTACTAAAAGTTTTGAGGTGCAACGAGCCTCATTAATTTCGTTCAAGCTACTAAAGTGGTTGCTAGGAAAAAAGTAAACAATTCCAATGCAAAAAAGTGCACGGGGAGTAACGCCGATGCCGACATCACATTCCAATGGTTTGTTGATGCGGGACAAGGCATTTCTTGCCCACACTTCATTGCGCATGTACCAACTTACGTTGGTGGCTTGCTGCTAGAGGCGCTCCAATTCGTTTGTAAACATGAGCTGGTGTATACAGTGAGCGACTCTAGTATAAGCAAGTGGTTGTCAGGTGTGAGGGTTTCAAGGTCATAATGTCATCTTTGTCCACACAGTATCACAATAATCAGAGCTGATGCGAAGCCAGCGAGAATCAAAACACTCATTACGGTGTTGCCAATGGGCATCTTCGTGAGTCCAATGATTTGGATATTTGTATTTCAACGATATTTCTGATATATTTTTGCTTTTAAAATGTTCGAGTGACTGGAATGGGGTTCTGTTTCTAGATATTTCAATTGGGCTGTAAACCTTAGGATGAGTGGGTCCGCCGATTGACGGCCATGTGGCAAGCGATTGCAAACATTTTGCGTTTGGTACACTGCTCATAACTTTTGAAAAAAATCGAAGGCGACCAGACTGGTGAAAGTTCAGTTTGTTTTTTGACCAGCTTGAATGAGTGCCTGTATGTGGCTGGAATATTTTGTGAACTCTGCCCCTCCATATGCAGTGGATCCTTTCCAAAATTCATTCTGGTCACTTTGATCACTACCATCATCTGAGGTATGGTGCATGTGTCAAATAGTGGCGGCCTTCTAGCGACTGATGGAGAAAGATGATGAAGGTATGTGGAAGCGGATGCAAGGCCTGCATATGGGAGACTTCAGTACAGTGTGACAAATGCATTGAATATAGACGCTTTGCAGCAGCTGTGCATGGACGCCGCCATAACTGACCTTCAGTTTTTGTTTCCTCTTATTTCGTTTATTTCACTTCATCATTACCATAGCAGACCAGGTTATTGCCACATTAGATTCAACTGTGTCCTTTTCTAAAGCATCGGCCTTTGTAGAGGATCGTCAACTACTGTTTCAGTTGCTCGGCATCTCGGTAAGACAACAGAAGGTCAGCAATGGCGGCTGTAATTTGGCGCGTGTGTAAAGCGTCTATAAGAGCTCCACAAGCACTCAATTAAAAGTTGGATCCCATCAATTTGTCGGGTCCCATCAATTTGTTGGCACGCAATCGGCTCTAAAGCACGTCGTGTAGTATTTTATCAACGTGGGTTTCGACCAATGGAATCTTCGTCGCCATCAAAACTGACCGGGATGAAGAAAAAAACTACACGGCGAACAACACTCGTCTGCCGTTAGACTCGCGAAAGTGGCTGTGCCCAATGAAATACACGTTCATTACCCTCCAATAGTATGGCAAAATATAAACTTTTCTTTGAGCCACCAGATGACGCTGAAATTTGGAAGACGTCTATTGCTGTAACGGCCTGCGCAGCCAGTGTTGTTGGCAGAGAGGCCATTGGGGTGTCTCATGCGCATCGTTGTTCGCCTTCCCTCTCAGTGGGTGCCCGAGATCACTCACCACTGCCAGAAGACGCCGTTCCTGCTGGTGGGCACCCAGATCGACCTGCGGGACGACGCGGCCACCCTGGAGAAGCTGGCCAAGAATAAGCAGAAGCCCATCTCCAATGAGCAGGGAGACAAGCTAGCCAAGGAGCTCAAGGCCGTCAAGTACGTCGAGTGCTCCGCCCTCACCCAGGTCAGTGGGACCCCCTTTGTCAGTCGTCGCGCATTTCGAATCGCCATGCTGTGGAAGGCACATTGTGGAAGGTGTGCGCAGATATCTAGCCACGGCCCGCTGCGCAAAATTCTTCTCGAGTCGTCTAAAACTAGTCGGAAAGACAATAGTCTGGATTCTTCAGTGTACTTCAAACAATATTTCGATGTTGCTGCTGGGCGCAACTTAATCGGTGAGCTCCTGGATGGCCAACGCTTCCGCCTCGCTGGCAAACCACCAGACTATGTGGGTGTTCTTTGATAAATTTAATAAATGAAGATAAAAAAAAAACTGTCAAATGTGAAAAGTTATAAAAGCGGTAGAGTGCAAGATATCGGTGCACTTGTTACCAGAGCGTGGTAGAAGGGCATGTCCGTCTCTCCCTGCTCCCAAGCCAGGCCGATGAACACCGCGTGGCTGTAACCTGGGGTTGCAACGAACTCCCTTTCCGAGGATGCATAAACAAAGTCTCGTTTCCATGTTTTGAGGGTTTTGGAAGGTTGCGGGGTCCTGTGAGGCAAGACCACATCAGTCGTAAACAAAGTGGTTGCCAGGCTCGCAACAGTGTATGGGTGTCACCAGACACATTCATAACATTTCTCATAACCTGAAGAAGATTGGGAATCGTGCAAATATCGATGGAGCCCCGCGAGTTTGCCACTCGTCTCTCGGCTCTGGTAGCTCTTAATGAACAGACTTGCGTGTCTGAAGTACTGCTACTTAAGATTGAAGTTTGGCGTTGGAGCCGAAAATACTTGAGTTTTAATTGCACAATTGTAGAGCGACTAGATATTGCTATACAAATTCAATGTTTTGATACAGCCTTCTATTGCTTTGATCGGAAAAGTTTATTCGCATGTATTTGTAAAGGTTGTGAATTTTGTTTGGAATATGGCTGTTATAATGGACTACATTTTTATGCCACCGAGCAAGTTTTAACTTTTAGTTGTCTTCTCGAGCTTGCCTCTGACCATGCCACGTCGTGACCTCGCTCGTTCTGCAGAAGGGGCTGAAGAATGTGTTTGACGAAGCCATCCTGGCAGCCCTGGAGCCGCCCGAGCCGAAGCCCAAGCGGAAGTGCGTCTTGCTCTAGGCCCCGGGGCCGAGGGGCGCAGGTCGCGGGCGCTGCTGCGCGGGCAAGCCGGCCAGCCGCCAATGACTTTTTTTGAGGAAGGGGCTGCCGCAGCAGCAGGAGGAATTGCCCGGTCCAGCCTAGACCACGACCACTGTCTAGCGGGGAAAAAGGGGGCCAACGGGGGACGCCGCCGGACTACCGAGGCACGACCCGCCGCCGGCGGGCAGAGATCCCGTTAACGGGGAGAGCAATTTGCGGTCAGTCTGAGTAGTCGGGACACTTAGGAAAGGGAGGGAAATGATGGCCTTGCTCAAAGCCAAGCAGGTTCCTTTGATCGGAACGAGAGGACGGAGGGGAGCTTCGTTCCCCAGAAGCCAAGCCAACGCTGCCAGGTTTTTTTCGGTCTGGGCGAGACTCAGTTTCTTACGCTTGATTCGCAGTATTGAAATGGGTGTGCGTCGTAGCTTTTATCGGAGCTCTTCTTTCCTCAGTTACCTTTTTGTGTTTTCTGTTCAGTGCCGTGTCAAATGTACAGAGGGCCATTAACCGATTTAACTAGTAATAAATGTTCCTACGAGAGAAAGCCTGTCCCCGTGGAGGCGAGGTCTTCTGGTGTCGATTTTGAGCTTTCTGGTGAAAGCGGCATCGGAGGAGAGGCAGGGGCCGACATTGTGCCCCACCGCCGCCGTCTTTTGCTTTCGATGTCTCGAATCTGCCTAGAGAGCCAAGTTCGGCGTCGAGAATTGTGCATGCGGTGCATGTGTCAAAAATATTTTTTGGTTGAAAGACTATGCGATGCTCTATTTATTTGCCGTTTGGGGACTTCATTTTTCCTCTTCGAGCATTTGCTTTTTGGAAACGACAAAAATACTTAAATGACCCGAACTTCTAACGAGATATTACTGTGCCTCTTAACAAATTAACATTCAGTTAGCTGTGTTTTGTAGTTTGAATAAAGAAGCGTCCTTTGGTATACTGTAAAAAGATCCGAGAAATGTTTTATAATAAATCCTTGAATTGAAGACTGATTTTGTTTGATTGTAGATTGCGTGCCGATAGTGGAGGCTCATCTCAAAACTTGCCGTGCCCGACCATGGCTGGACTAAGTTATAATAATTTTATTTTCCAAATGAATTGGGGGGACAGAAGGGAAAAAGCCTCCAGTGGAGGCTTGACGAGGTCGAAGCGCCATACAATGACGAGCGCAACAGCACGAGAAAAAAAAAAGCACATATACATAAGAAAACAAAAACTTCGTCAGAATTAAAATAACCCTATACAGTTCAAACAAACAAGTAAATAACAGGTAACATTATACAGTATCGGTGATGTGATTGCTGCGCCAATTGCACCAAACTGCGCCAAGGGGCTAACCCTGCTACATTTTGCCAAAATATGGGTAATCTGCGCCAAGCCTGCGCCAAAGGACCAATTTTGGTCACTTTTCGAGACCAAAACTAAACAGAGTACCATAATTGAGCGTGCGTAAGCTAGCTGGCGCAAGCGGCCGCTCGACACAGTGACAAAGTACCCTGCATCAATCGTTCATCCGGTCTTGCATGGTTCTTCCCGCCGTCTCTCGTTTCGCGCTCTCGTTGTCTCGCGTCTTTTTAACAAAATTTCAACGATAAACGCGGGCGTCTGCGGACGCTCCGACGCTAGCGTTCTGTTTACCAGCCATTCCGTCATGCTGTGAAACGAAACCCCGTTTTTGCGCGGCGGGAGTTGCTTTGTAAGCTGAAGCACTCGTTCCTGAAAGCAACGGCCATGGGAAAATTATTGTTGGTTTCTGCCTGCCAGTCACCGTAATCGCGCGACATCGGGTGTTGCCGTCCCCACGTCGCTGCAGATATGGCGCTTCCTAGACCGAAACGCAAAGACGTCCGGATGTTCGTAACGTTCCTGTTCTTGTTTAATACGCTACTACAAAAATCCCTCTAGCTCCAAGACTGCAGTATCGAAGTATTGATCACCTAGGTTTCTCCCGGTAGGCTTTCTTTTGAGAGGGACCCCGATACGTGAAAAATCTGCCTCGAAAGAAAGTTGGTGAAGAGAAGTGAGCTAAAGCAAAGAAGGCAATGTCTGCACGCTGAATCCGCACTGCGCGCTTGTTTGTCTTGAGTTCAGTCGTTGCATAAACCGCTACAAGAACTTTGTGGCACTGGCTCGCAATGTCTTGCATCGATGTGCTCAGTTGTTCTTTTTGTGTGTTTAGCTTGTACCTCGCCTGCCGGCCTGGCAAGCACGTGCCGCTGGACTGTGTTTTGTCGTATGCTGGACAGTTACATTTTGCATACAATTTTGGAAAGCAGTTAATTGGCGATGGAGCGGAGTGGCATGGTTTAGATCGAACAGCTATCTCCGCTCGCGCGACAATTTCGCCCTGCACTAGAGTAGTTCCGTGCTTCATCGATTGGAGACTGCTTCCATTTATCATAGAGCTAGTACACCTAATGCTGTGCTATTTACTACTAAGCTGGTCCTTTTCAAATAAATTTTAATATGTGCAGTTGGGTTCTTATATGTATCATATAACTGAAGAATTGCGAAATGTGTCCTGTCATAGGCATTTCAGTTAGATGTTCAAAGACTTCCAGGTGGTCTAACTACACTATAATTTGTTTATTGTGGCGAGCAAAGTGTCCTTCATTTGTCCAGCACTTGAAATTAATACTTTTATTGTTCTAAGAATATCTGCTCCGAAAGCCACTTTTGTTGCTCCAAAACATTGTTTTGGCTGCTCCTAAATTGGTGCTCCAAAACGGCTTACGCCAATCACGTCACTGCAGTATGCATCAGTGAAAGATCACAAGCGCAAATAGAATGAACGCTAATCTTTAGTTGATGTAGAGTCTATACAAATTACGCTGCTGTTGTGTTATTTGAGCCATTTAGGTATAGTGTAACATAGCATTTGTGTACCATAGTTTGTCTTGCAGCCGGCAACCTTCCAATATTCCATGTGTCGGGTTAAATAAATGTGATCGTTCGGCACTAACTCGGATAGGTCTGACGAGAAGCCCATGTTTTTTTGTTCTCGAGTTTTAAGCAGACACATAATCTATATTCATAGAGGTTAAATATTTTTAGCATTCTGAACTTTCGAAACAAGCCCTCACTATGGTAATCGTAAGGCACATTACAAATAATTCACAATATTAGTTTTTGCAATAAATGTAGTTTCTGCAAGTTTGATTATCGTATTACTCCAAACGAGGCGAAAGTAATTTAAATAGGACTGAAACAGGGCATTATATATTAGTAATTTTACATTAACGGGTAGGGAATAACCATGATGGTATGTTAGTCCTATAACACGTGACATTTTTGCAGCAAAGTGATCAATGTGGTTATCCCATGACATTCGTCCTGAAAAGAATACTCGGAGTGAAGTATGCGTAGAGAGACTGAGAGAGAAGAGGAGGCGTGGACGCACTGGGATGTCTGAGTGCCGAGCTCCGATTTGAATTGTGGGTAGATGCTAGCAGCCTTCATTGTTTTGGTAGAGGAAAAGGCTGCTGGCCTTTGCGCCTACCCACTAATTCTTCCCATTGAAGCTTGGCACTCCGACTTTCCCGCACACTCATCTCTTCTCCCTTCGTTTCTCTCCATACAGGAATATGGCCATATCTGCAGTCCCACTGCTAGGTTTGCTCCATTTGCATGATCAAATCTTCCTAAAAATGCTTACTTCAAATATTGACGTAACTTTATGCCTGTGACACAACGACCAATATATCGGAACGAATGGGAAATATATGCAGACTTCTAGCCTGCACGCGGTGGCACCACCGAGTTAGTCACAAAGTAAAAAAAAAGGGCAAACCATTTTGTGGATTTTCTTAAATCTGTGATTTTCAGGTGTACCGCTGGATGAAAATGTAAGCGGATGAGGAGGCCATGGGATTGGGGCAATTCTACTGCCCCAATCCCATGGGGGCAGTAGAAGTGCATCAGTTCTGTCAGTTCTTCACCACTGTTTTTGATTTACAGCAATTTCACCTGGAGGAAATCTACATCTTGTTCACAATCCATTGTTGGCAGATCTGTGCACATGGCCGCCTTGTGCTCAGTTTCCCATCGTGGAACGGTATAAAACTGGCGTAAAGATGACCTACAGATTCGTCTTCAGCCAGGCCTTCCTCCTCTCCACTCACTCACATATTTTTTCTCTTGAATGGAGTGGGTCTCCTAGCCTCTGGGCTTCACCCTACAGATAGAATCCAGCGCCGGTTTTGTCCTTTTTGGCTGCTCTTTGGCAGCTCCAACTCTAAAAAAAAGTTGGGTGTTCAATTTTTTTTTTTTTTTTAATTATAATCCAATTTCAATGCAATTTACCATTTGAATTCATCATCTGGCAGATTCAATACTTCCACTCGGTTCTTGGGTAGCTGTGGCCGATGCTATGTGGAGCGCAAGTTCGTCTGCTTGCGCAGGGGTGGCGGTGACGTCAGAACGCCAATCTATGATTGGCTCCATTGGAAGGATAGTGGGTACACCTCAAGGCAACATCTATCACTGAGGTCTACCCACTATCAATCAGAGCCAATAAGAACACGACGTTGCGACGTCACCCCAAGCCCTGCGCAAGAAGCAGATGAACTTGGGCTCCGCGTTGATAACATCTATTTAAATAATAAGTCTACTTAGCAGCATTCTTCCTGAACGACAAGCAAAAAATGTATGGATTTGCCAGGCAGTTGTTTTGCATACTTAAAACGGTCTACAGCAGCTCTTACGGCGCTTTTTTATCATAGAACGCGTACCATGTGTACACTTGATGGTTGTTCCTATAGTCGGTGACAGGTCAAAAACGAAGTGGAAGCTCCTCACACCTCTTTCCACTTTAGTAGAGCGAACGGTGGAAAGGCGACCTCCTCTCCACCGTTCACTCTGCCGAAGTGGAAAGGGGTGGGAGAAGCTTCCACTTCGTTCTTGACCTGTCACTATCGCTAATCGGGCAATCATCCAGAGTCTTCCATACTCGCGAGCACCTCTCAGTGCACACAGGTGGTCGAGCTGCTCCTCGCCTACCCCTATGGTCACGTGACCTCCCCCGTTAACCAATCGGCATCAAGCTTCGCAGCCACGCATATTGGGCATCAGATAATGCTGAACCAGCCAATGTTTCACGCTTGTTAAAAAAACCACGAAAAGGGATATCAAAACGAATGAAACGATTAGCAAAGAGCACCTGGTGGATTTCGTTAAAGGGACACTGACAGGGTATTCATGCTCGCCAAGGTTTTTATTTGTACGTGGCATATGAGAGCCCAACCACCCAGAACACAGTCTGCGGCTCGAAATTCATATTCTTTCCGCCCGAAAATCGCCGTTCGAGAACTGGCTGGTTTGAGTCGCGCTCACTCAATTCTCCGTGGTTATGTGCCATTTTCTATGGTTTAGACACAACCACCAAATATAATCCAAGTTGTGGATCATTGAAACCAGATGCTCAATATTAAAAATAGAAAGGAAATATGTAGACATGGGCGAATAGAGGATTTTGGATCCGAATCGGATTCGAAGCGAATAGTGATTTTGGCCGAATAATTTTGAATCGAATAGTTCGAATAGTACAAGCAACAAATACCACAAGATATGTTTAAACTATAGTTTTATATTTGCCCTTATTTGGTATTAGATGTACTGTAATTGTTAATTTCAACTGTATTGAGTTCGGGAGCACGAAATGGTTGAAAGCTTGTGCCACCTGGCCGGAAATCCAAGCCAGAGTAAGTCAAACCCGTTTATATTGAACTCGCAAAAAAAGTCTACCAGTTCGATATAGCGGGTAATTCGATGTAAAAGTTTTAATGAATTCGACTCTCAAAAATATACTTTCTGCTGAAATACTACACAGTGAAGTACGAAAAAATAGTCAGAGTGCAGGCGAGCTGGTGTAAGTTGAACATGATTGTAAACCTGAGACTGGGCAAGAAAAGAGAACACAACAGAAGGTAGAAAAAGAGGAGGCAACGTCTCAAACTCAGCTGCAAAGTTTATTTCGTACACGCCTTAT